ATATATATATAATACAATAGATTGAAAATCTGATTAATATTTGATAAGAAAATATTGTAAATGTGCAAAGGTTTTTGTTTAAGTTCATTCTTGTGACTTTCAGTTTGAGCCAGCTTTTTTCAAGAATTAAGGTGCAGTTTTCTTAACCGCCTCTAGAGGCAGTGTTGCATCACATTTCAGGTGCTTGTTTCTGAAGACTTTAAACCTGTGGACTTAAACTCTCAACCCAGTTTACATATTTTCACATAAGTAAAACTATGGAGGATTTATTGTATTGTATTTGAGCAGTTTGCTTTTTAAACATGGCTGTAAAAGAAGGTTTTGTTTTTATCCCATTAAATATTAACTAGCACAAAGGAAAAGTTCAAATAACTTTATAACCTACACAAAGGCTTGAGCAGATTGTAAAATGTTTTTTATTATCACAATTAGTCGTGAAGAAAAAAATAACACTGCAATGCATTTTAATTTAGAACAAATATTTATTCAAATCAAAAGGAATAACTAGACAAAGGTTAATCATTCAGAACAAAGTGTATTCATAGAATCATACATCATGAATGAACAGACGGAATAAAACAATAACATACACATGGAGAATGAAGAAAATTCATTGTGTTATATTGCACTTTGTCTCTAAAATGTTCCAGATCCCATCACCCAGATTTGTTTTCTTCGAACATTTCAGCTCCTGCCTTTTTATTACCAGGTCAGGAGTTTAGCTTAGTTTTGACGTTGGACTATGGAGGCCCAAGCAAATGGACTATTGAACTGACCAACCTGAAACAAATGTGTAAGCTTATTCTTCACCACATAACTCAATTTATTTTCCCTAAGATAAAATCCAAAACAAAGAAATTCAAACTGCTATTACACAAAAAAATTACTAAGGAATTTTGTCTACTACCCCATCATAACTAAATGTTTCTCAGAGGGAGGTGGGGGCGTTGCTGATCAACAGCAACAAACCCCAGGCCTGAAAGAAGGGAACGGGGAAGTCAAGGAGACAACTAACAAAAAAAAAAGAAAAACAAAAAATAAAAAAAAGGTTTCTGGAAAACAACTGGTCTGAATGCCCAGAAATGAAAAGGATAAAAGCTGACACTCATCAGCTTTGGAAAAAAAAAAACAAAAAAACACACACATACAAAGAAGAGGCCTGTCCAAGATGTTTGTGTTTTATACTTTACTTAAAAAAAAGACATTTTTTTCTCTCTTCCCTTTTTGTCCTTTTGAATAAAACACATAAAAAAAGGTCAAAAAATGTCTATAAGTGTCAAAACACGAACGAGAACGAGTTAGCACAGACGCTGAAAAATAGTCATGATCAGGTCTTTTCTGCATCAAGGCCACTAAGATAAGATCACTTTAACAATCTGCCATTTGTGGATTTACTGTCAGAAGCTAGATCTTGATAAGAGCGTGCACACAAACTTGTGTCAGCCATGTTTCAAAAATGTAAACTTAGCATTACTAGTAATAAAACGAGTGACTAATAATGCATTAATATCCTGAACAACTTTGCTTTACTGGAAAAACAACTTGGTTAGTACCTACCCATTATGCCTCAGACCTTCACCACATAATGCCATCTTTATTATTTTTGTTAAAAAAGTGATGCTTTCTAATATTTGACTATGTCAAACCTCCGTTAGAAATGGTCTTTTGTTTTTAATGAGTTAGAAAACCAATGTATTACTCATTTCAACCTACGACTACTTGTTCTGACCATCCGGAACAGAGGTTTGACAAAGTCTCCAGCTTTTTATTTCTGCTGGGTTTGCTTTTTCGTTTTAATCACAGAAAGCAGTCATTTCTCTTTTCCAAGTTTCCTTTTCTCATGTTTTTATGACTAGCAATGTGGTTTCACTGGTCTGGTAGAGTCTGCCTAAATGGATGCAGAAGGCAAGTGAAGTAGGACAAAAAGGGAATGTGATTCATCTCAAAAAGCTGCCTTGCTTACCTGCATTTCTGTTTTCTCACTAATGTAGATTTTTATTAAGAAGAAATTACTTTTAACAGTGCAATAAAAAAAAAATCCACAATTTTTTTTTTCTCCAAACGCTTGGCAAGTGAGAAAACCACCTGAGACAGTGCTTTGGGCAGTTACACAAGCTTGGCTTGCTCTGAAACTCGGACTAGAAGGACTGCAGGCCTTGAGGGTGACTTCAAAATGTGTTGCACATGCGCCAACATTTTTCTGTCATTTACAGTCTGAGTGGCAAAAGCAGGACTGCAGTCCTCCTCGTCCGAATCCAGGGCAAGCTCCAAACAAAATCTAGCTAAAAAGCTGTTTGATGACTGGAGCCAAACACGAGGACAAAATAAGCGAACTACACAGCACAAGAGGAGGGAGGCCACGCTTTGATCCAAGCTTAGGAGGCAAAGAGCTTCCACCTGGAGATGGTGTGCAGCGGTTGTAATAAAACCCCAGGCTGGCCTTTCGAAACCGTGTACTGACAACAAAAAAGAAACTAAAACGGCTTCAAACAAATTCAGTGCATTTCTCACTTTTCAGTCTTTTGTTTGTCAAAAATCAAATCCTTTTCGAATCATTGCTCTAGTGTCAAAAGTTAAGCCTGCAGTGTAACTATTCGCAGTCTGGTGCGTCGCGAAGCGGAAACTTAAAAAAAATAAAATAAGTGACTTGGAACCATTAAACAGAGCCACGCAACTCAAGTAAAAAAAAAAAAAAAAATGTGCAAAACAAAATCCCACGAGGCAGAAGGACCTAGTCTTTGCTCTGTTGTTAACTGCTGCTGAAAGCTTTCATTCACACAGACTAATGTGGTTACAACACCGTTACCTTTCTCTCTTCATTCCATTTTTAAGTGATTCAGCTGAAGTTTGGACATGATTAGTCCTGCTTTCGTTTTTTCTTCTTTTTTTTTTTTTGTTTTGGGCAGGAGCCATGTCCTTAATGTGCCACAAGTTCAGAAGAATCAAGGCTGAAGAGGAGCTTGGCAGGCTGAGCCTTGGCGAATCCTTTTCTTCAGTCACACCATCACCAAGGCTCTTGCTGCTAGAGTGGGGGTGGGGAGTGCCCCTCCCCACCGTACAGACTGAACACTCCTCAGAAGGCTGACTGACACAGGAAGAGAGCGATACCCGCAAACTACAGATTCCTGTTTCTCTTACTGAGGGAAGGAAAGAGCAGATTTGTCCAGTTCAACTCAACTTCAGGTTAAGTTTTTTGTTGGTTGGATGCGAGGCTTTTCTCATGATGTCAACAGCATTGAGTCGATGCTTTTAACTGACAAAATGTTTAAAGCTCAGTCACACAAGCAAGTTCCTTGAGGCACCCCAAAATCCGTAGGGGTGATTTTAGGGATCACCTCAGCGTGATGGACAGGAGTCGAGCCTGTGAGCCTCTGTGCGGCTGGCATGATCGGGGTTAGGATCGATCTAGAGCAGGAGAAAAAAAAAAAATAAAAATCATGGTTAATTATTTTTTTCCCCAGATGAAAGGGAAAAACTACTACTACTACTACTACTACTACTACTACTACTCTTTATGAAGGTTTACCTCAGAATACAGAGGAGGGGGCTGGAAGCGGAACTCGTGAATATAGGCAAAGAGGGGACCCTCCATCTCCTCGCGGACTGCGGGAACATCTAGGCGGTTCTGTCTCTGCTCTTCCGTCACGATTTCTGCATAGCTTGGAGGAGCTGCAAGTGACAGAATATGTTAGCACTCCTGGAACAATAAAACCCCACAATTTATTAAATTTAAAAACACTTTTATTTTGGTCGGGACTACCTTCAGGCCTCTCTGGCAGACCCATGCCCAGCCAGCTCATGCTGCACTGGCTGCTGACGCTTGAGGTACGGGAACCGAACGGGTGGAGAGGAATGGTTCCGATGACAAGGGGCAGGTTCAGGGACAGGTTTATCGCCCCTGGTATGTCTACGTATACCTGAACACAGACAATAAGATACAACAGCTGTTTAGAGCTTGCTGATTGTTCAGGGTTATAATGAATCTGTTAACGTGCAACGAAGAAGAAAAGGTTTTAGGTTTGTGCGTGACATTCTACAGGTTATGTTTGTCATATGGGTCAGTTTCTTACGACCAGCTGCTTACACAGGACAGAGCCCTGGTTTAAAGTCTGTCTGTTCAGAGGGTAAAGAGGTTATAAGCTCCCCCAGGGCAGGTGTTGCTACCAATACCCCGGGCTAATGCTCTTAGCAGCAAGCAGAGATAACACCGGGAACAATCCAAGGTCTAGTTTAGGCTGTGTGAGCTGAGTCACCCTTACTAGGGCAGGTACTGGCTTACTAGGAAATACTGATTCAGTGCAGATAGCAGCACAGTAAAATTAGAGAGAACTGTTTGTATTTGACCACCAGTAACATATCAGCAAATACAAACAAAACGTTTGACCTAAATGTTCTGTGCGAGAGAAAGAGAGAGCGGATCAAACATTAGCAGACGACAGCTCACCATGAGCGAGTACTCCACTCTGATGATGCTGCAGTCCAGGATGGAGGGGGACACAGGTGGGATCTTCAGCATCTTGCCGTTCCAGGTCTCCGTTTTGCCGGAAGACAGGGACTCTCCCCGCAGGTTGGCCACCAGCTGCTTGACCTCCTTCATCTTCCCTTTGGCATAGAAGGTCTGTGTCTGGTAGATGGCTGCCTTTGGCACCACCATGCGGGAGGAGCAGTTCTCAATCTCAGCAAATATCTGGATAGACTCGCCTACACGGTAAAAAAGAAAAACAGAGGGAAGTTAATGTTTCACTCCAGTGATAAGAGTATTGATTATGTTTATGTCTAATCAGTAATGAGGAGTATCCTGCTGGATGTGACGATTTTATTGACTTATCCGGCAAGCGGATGTGTATCAATACTCACCTGGGGTGTATCCTTTCCTTTCAATTTTGGCACTTAGGGAAATAGGACCTGAGGTGCAGAACCAACAGCAAAGCGTCTTGTCTGCTGTGCCCGCCTGTGGTGACTGAAAGAGGGGCAATACAAAAATATTATTTTTAACTTTTTATGTATTTCCTCGACTAAAAAAAAAAAATTAAGAGGTTGGCAGTTGTGTTTAAGCTACTCAAGAGCTTTTCAAACTGATGGAAAGACGTGCTCACCAACAATAATGGAGTGTTGATGTCAATGTGCTCAAAGACTGTAAATTCTTTCTTGGTCTTCATGGGCAGAAGCCATGGCCTGTGGAGCTCTGCCTTTACCCAGTAGCGCACACTGCCATGCTTTCCTTCGAAAGAGGTAGCCAAAGGTCTGCAAGTGAAAGGAAAAGGAGCGCAAAAAAAAAAAAAAAAAAAAAAAGTCAAAATAAGCACTAAAAAAAGCAAACGTGCGATTTCGTATCAGGATACATACGTCTGTGGAAGCTCGAGGCTGAATGCATACTCATGCCTTCCCGCATGGATCGTGGTGAGCCCTTCCTCCGAGTTGTCATCGTCTGAAAAACAAGGAGGACAATATTCCAAACACATGTATACCATACCTGGATAAAATGCTCTACGAAGGCATCTGTAAGTCATATCAAAAAACACAGGGTGGGGGAGACAGAAAAGAGAATAAACGGAGTTTACAATTAAATCCGTCTGTGAGAATTTAATGTATTTGAGAGACAAACAATATTTTTTAAAAAGGAAACTAAAAAGAGTTGATGGTTTCGAGGAGACAGAAACTGAGCCGGGGGGATATGGTAATTAAGAACAAAAGATTCCTGTACCTGGGGACTTTATTTTAGCATATGTGATGCAAAACAGATATATGCCTGCACCATAATAAATGTGATCGAAGTGGAAGATAAATGAGCAAGAAATATGTTTTTATCAAATCTATTTTGCTCCCAAACTGGTGCTGATAAACTGCGTAAAAACGTAAAATAATAATAATAAAACTAGTAAAAATGTATTTATTTAAAAATTAAAACGATAATTTGGTGAAATTAAAAGTTAAGGGACAGGGTGTGCTGCTTCTGCCAGCTCAGCACAGCCTCCACCTAGCAGCAGCAGTGTGGTAAACAAGTGCGGAGCTGTCAGTCAAAGGCAGACTCCAGCAGGAGGAGACCGGCCTAAACCGGTGTGAGCAGCTCTCCTCAGCATTACGTATTCACTGTGCGACGCCGCAGTCACTGCCATAGGATATGCCTGCTGCACGGACAGCCACAAGCCACCTACTATAGCATTTTCCTGAGGTTACAAGCCATTTTTTAAACCATTTCACCAAATTTAAATATACACGAAAGCCTCTTTATGAACGTCCATCATAATTAACAGCAGCCCGAACCTCATTTACCGCTGATATTCTGGCTACAGAGCACTAACAAAGCTGCCAACAATTAAAATAGCCTTTCATATAGCAAGCAAAGACAAAAAACACAAAGCTACATCAACTGTCAACGTAGCTACACATAATTCGCCGAGATTTAACCCACAAACACCTCCATCTTCACATTCTGCAGGTTGTTTTTTCCAATAAAATAAAGTTGCTGAATTTTCTATCCCTCTGCAGAGTAATGATGTCATTGGCCACACACAAGCATTTTAACCAATCACCTGCGAGGACCAGTTCTTTTCCCCGCCCCTCCAAGGACCAGTTTTCAGAACAGGATTGAACCGCTTTGAACAATAGGTGGAAACTTCGACTTTTGTTTAGCGATGAAATTTCCTAACAAAGCGAAACATTCGTCGACGAAAGTATTGACTGTATAACAGAGCGTCTCGGAGTGAGATTTATTCTCATTTGTGCTTGAAAAATCAATAAAAAACAAGATAGGTACCCAAGCAGCTGTCATTCATTCTGACACCTTCGAGTGACAAATAATCAAAAAAGGTACAGCTCTGCAGCCGTGTACGGTCGATGTCATTAAGTGAAACTTAACAATTTCCACAACTCATACAATGAAATGACACTTTCAACTTGTATCTGTGTCTACACCTCTGTTGCTATGCCTTGAAACCGTATCCCACTCGGTGAACCTGATCCCCAGCCAGCGAGAGAAGGACAGCATCCCTGTTTCTCAAAACTTCAGCTAAAAACCTCAAAACCACACACACCGCCCTTACCTCTTTCGTGTCCGATTAAAATATCTTTGTGGTTCAGGTACTCCACTTCCTCGGTGTAGTTCTGGGTGTAGGCGGTGTTGGAGCCAGCGTTTCTCGACTCGGTCCAGCGAACTTTTGCGAAGCCCTTCGCGTGGATCTTGAGGGACTTCACGCGGATTTCTCCGGTGACTTCGACCACCACCCTCCCTGAGACGCAGTCCCCGCTGGAGAAGACGGGGACGTTGCTGTCATTGAAACAGTCGTAGCTCACGGTGAAGCTCTTTACCTTTCCTAGCACCATGATGATGATGATGATGATGGCGGAAAAGAGATCTTAAAGGGTGTAAAAAAATGGAGAAGCTTTACACACTGTCTGCCCTTGCAAAAGAAGCAACAGGCAGGATCAGTGGCTTCTTTCTGAGTCGTTCATTGAGCTCTGACAAGGCTGATAACCAGCAGCGGATGCTGTTATCATCTGCCTCTCTGCTGGACGGTCTCAGTCAAAGACAAGGAAACCCCCGGAGCTCAGCTCACTTTAAACCACAGGCTGACTGAAAAACAACCTTGTGCGCATGCGCCGAGGGGGGACTTTCAGCCCCCACCTTTCCTGCCTTCTGGAACAAGGCAGTGTGGCACATACAGACATAACAAGTATGGTAAAGCTCCTAAAAGACACTGCATGAAGCAATGCGGCCTTGTAAGACAGTTTGTAGCGTTTAAATTAATCAGAGAAGCAATAAAGCATCGTTTTATTTTTCTGTATTTTTCAAGTGTGTGCAAATTCTGATCTTTTTTTAAGGCCTCCATCTTCCAAACAAATTACGATTACTTTTACTCAATGCTTTTACATATCTACAGTGATAATGCACAAAAGAGATGCATTTTTTTTAGCATGATGCCTGCATCAAAGGCAACGCAAAACTCCTAGATACACAATGTCCAAACGATCTGAAAATGCTTTTATGTATCAACTGTTCTATCTTTTTTTGTTGTTTTTGCTTTTTTTTTCTTGGAACATTAGATTAACCCACACTTATATATAAGGATAACTGTTCTCATTGTGTTGAGCTCCCAGTTTCAAGAGAAAAACAACTCTGAAGCTGAAAACGCCCCCCTGTGGCAGTGTTTCCCTCTGTGAGCTGCAGCATCACCTGTTGACATGCCATGAGAACTGGAGTTCCTTGCTTTCAACAGCCAACTAATGATGGCATTATAGATGAGTTTTTTTTACATTATTATGAGTAATAGACTATGTCCAGTAAGCTATTCCAGTGTCAGTGTGAGCATGTCTTCAAAAAAACTGCTTGCTCACACAGAACTAAACTGCCAAACATTACATAGAACTAGAACTAACCACAGATTCTATAGGGATAATGCTGCCTCTGATCCTTTCGCCTTTTTTCTGTAATTCTAAACACACTCTGTGATGTTGTGATCAGGACCCTTTTGGGCCTTATCTCTTCCAGGACTTCTTGTTCTTCTGCAAGCTGAAGATGATTTCTTGCATGTTGCAGAACAAATATAGAGCCAATCAGGTTGTTAGTGCCTATAAGCACTCATTGGCAAATAAACTACATTCTGCTTCAGCTAAATGTTTTTCGATTTTGACTCATTAGTGCAAAATATCAGCTTTTTTCAACATTCCTGTTGTTGTTTTCTTTGTGCATCTCAATAAGTGCTGCATTGTTCTTCTAAAATAGTATGAACAGTGCACGTAACCCGAGTCTGCATTGATATTTTTTGCCTGGGAGAAGCTGTACCTTATGTCTAGTTGCTGTGTGCAGTCTTGCTGCAGTATTTGACCTGTGACCTGAAGCTATCTTCCACAACCTCACCTTGGTAGCAAAGTTTTTTTTTTCCCTCTCCCTGTTTTGAGCCTCCTACAGAGTTGTTTATGTTTTAGTTAACGACTTGGTTTTAACCTACACATGAAAAGGATAATCATTAACACCTGTTGTTATAATTGTTTAACCATATACCTGGAAATTACCTTATAAAATCTCTAACTTTTCACAAGCGTACCTTCAGAATTGATGCTGTTTCGAAGGCAGTGGAGTCACGTTTGCACCGTACTCCACCGTATCGCAATATTTTGTCATTATTCCTCAAGTTCTTAACATTCAGTTCAACGATACTTACATTTTGAGACAGTTTTACATTGCAATGAATCCGTTATGATTTACAGTTGTAGATAATGCAGCGAAATTGATAACTAGACTAATGCTGCCCTCTAGAGGATCATTTTAGTCACTGCATAATAAAAAAATCCAAATTTATTTAATCTTTTTATTTACTATTTAATTTATATTTTAATAAACTTGTAACAAAATAAATTTGTTTATTTAGGTTTACAGCTGGGGTTTCCGCTTCACAAACAACATGAAATTCCACGGTTTAGGTAAAGAAGACTCTTATTTTGAAAGCGTCACCAGGAAGTAAATAATGTAACCACGCCCCTCCCGTTTCGGCATAAATCAGCGCTTAAAGACTGTTTACTTCTCCGATGAATCTCATGTTTGCAGACTGTCTTCATTTTTTTTTAATTTTTTCACGACTGAAACGTATTTAAAAGTTTGAGCTGAATAGAAAGAATGGTTTTTATGGTGGTATTCTTTTTCTTGTCCCAAAACTTTGGTGAAAGAACTTGCCAAAATGTTTCCAGACCAAATATTGTTATGGTGATGAGTGATGCATTTGTAAGTATAATTTAAAGAACACTGTTACTGACTGACATCTTATGCAGTGACTTTGTTTGAATCTGAATGACAGCTTCTATGTTAATGATTATGACTTGATATAATTGTGTTAAAATGCCCCCCCCCCCCCTGTGTTATTGTTTACTTAGTATGTGTGTATCTGTGTTTCACAAGGATGGCCGATTATCCTTCGATCCTGGCAGTAAAGTTGTCCAACTCCCGTACATAAACTATCTCAGGGAGCTTGGGTCCACCTTCGTTAATGCCTACACAAACTCACCCATCTGCTGCCCTTCAAGAGCAGGTAGTTTCTTTAAAAATAATGCACTTTTTTTTTCTTTTGCAAGAGACATTTTATGGTTGCCTTGTTATTTTTTCTTAGCGATGTGGAGCGGTCGCTTTGTCCACCTCACTCAGTCTTGGAACAACAACAAATGCTTGGATGCAAACGCGACTACGTGGATGGATTTGCTGAAGAGGAACGGATATCACACCAAGATGATGGGCAAGATGGATTATATCTCAGGGGGTCACTCTCTCAGGTTAGTAGGTGTGTTCAGCTGAACCCGTTGTTGCAGATCTTCATCTGAGTCATTTTTTGTTCGCTTAACTGTAATTTTAAACATGGCCATGTCCTTAAAAGAGCGTTATTTAGGTATTAAACAGGAATAATGAACAGTTTATCTGACCTTCTTCATTGTGGCGTGAGTCGTGGTCCTGCGTGATTCTCTGAGTTTCCCCTTTTTGTGTCTCCGCTGCAGTAATCGAGTCGAGGCGTGGACACGGGAGGTTCAGTTCCTGCTGCGCCAAGAGGGCCGCCCCGTTTCTGAGCTTGTTGGGAACATGTCGACTGTAAGAGTTATGACGAAAGACTGGACAAACACAGATGAAGCGACGCAGTGGATCCGCCAGACCGGTGCCGTTTCCCACGAGCCCTTTGCATTGTACCTCGGCCTCAACTTACCCCATCCCTACCAGACTCGCTCTCTGGGGCCGACGGCCGGGGGTTCCACCTTCCGCAGCTCACCGTACTGGCTCACAAAAGTACACCCTTATTTTGCATGTTTAATCAGAACTACCTGAAGTAAGTTACCTTTTTTTTTTTTAAAAAGTGTCTGTTTCCCCCCCACACACACACATATAGGTGTCTTCTGAGCTCGTCTCGGTTCCAAAATGGCTGCCCATGTCTGCCATGCACCCTGTTGACTTCTACTCTACCGTCACCAAAAACTGCAGTGGTGCTTTCACAGTGGACGAGGTCAAAAGCATTCGAACCTTTTATTACGCCATGTGTGCTGAAGCTGACGCCATGCTGGGTTAGTTCAAAGAAAGGGTGCGATCATGGTGGCAAGTCTTGTGAGTTGTCTCTGTCGGATAAGAAATTAAAAAGTAAACTTTTTTTCTACGCTTCTAATAATGTAATAAAAGGGGTATGAGTAAAAAGTATTTAATCTATGCCTTAAAGGGATCGGTTACAAAAGTTCCACTTTTAAACTGGATGATTTAAATGTAAAAAAAAGAAGGCTTGAAAAACATGACATGTCTCCCTTACTGAGAATAATGAGGTTTTTCTGCAAAACAAAGCAAATCGGCTTTTGTCTCCACAAGCAAATGAGACATTCACTTTAAAGTTATCGAGTGTCATTAAAGGACCCTTTTCTTTCATGGACCAAGTTACCAAGTTAGCATTGACAACACAGCCCACTTCCTAAAATGTAATTATTTTGCTGGCAGTTTAACTTTCGCTCTCTGAACCGTTGATCTCCGTCTCTGTTTCTGCCTCACCAGGTCAGGTGATTTCAGCCCTGAGAGAGACCGGCCTGCTCAACAACACGGTCGTCATTTTCACAGCAGACCACGGAGAGCTCGCCATGGAGCACCGGCAGTTCTACAAGATGTCCATGCTTGAAGGCAGTTCTCACGTTCCCCTGCTCATCACGGGGCCCGGGCTGATGTCTGGCCTGCAGGTCGACCAGCTTGTGTCCTTGGTCGATCTCTATCCCACTGTGCTAGGTAAGAGGAAAATACACGTTAGGGTAAAGTAGCGCCGAATAAGGTTTTTGCATTTAAATTTGATTCAATAGCTCAGCTCGTTTCGCAGAGATCGCTGGTATTTCAGCTCCGGTTGATCTAAGTGGGCATTCCCTCCTGCCTCTGATATCCACATCCAGTGATTTTTCCAAGAAGTCACATTCTGACTGGGTGCTGAGTGAATATCATGGCTGTAATGCAAATGCCTCTACATATATGCTTCGAGTTGGCCACTGGAAATATATCACCTATTCAGATGGTCTCAGTGTTCCCCCACAACTTTTTAGTGAGTGTTATAATTCAAACGCACTATACGAATAAGGGGAAAATAAAACAAAAAAGATTTCATGCCTGTTCTTTGTTCCTCTCTTTTAGACCTCGCTCTGGACAAGGATGAACTTTATAATGTGGTTTTCAAATTCCCAGATGTGCAGGCTCATCTGGACAAGCTGTTGCGCGACATTGTGGACTACCCCGAAGTGTCCAAAGCTGTTCATCTTTACAATAAAGAAGCATTTTCTGCGTGGCGGGACAGTTTGGGGAGTAACTATAGCCAGGTCATTGCTAACCTCAGATGGCACATGGATTGGCAGAAGGATGTGTTCGCCAACGAGAGAGCCATTGACGAGTGGCTGAGTGACTCAGACGGCTGACTTTAAGTTGTTCATTTTTACTTAAAAAAAAAACTAACATTATAAATGAGAGAGCTGTTGTTTGATTTGCACATTCTAAAAATACAGTGTTTTGGGAAAATATTGAAACTGACTGTGGCGGATCTGCTTATCAGTGTGTGTGTGTGTGTGTGTGTGTGTGTGTGTGTGTGTGTGTGTGTGTGTG